CATAAGATACGAAATCTGGAAATAATCTAGATGTCCTTCACTGGGTAAATGGTTAATCAAGTTGTGGTGTATCTGTACCATGGATCTACCCTCAGTAATTGACAAGGAAAGAGAACAAAAGCAAAAAACAAAGCCTATTCATGAATGCAACTACCTGGCTACATCTCCAAAATGAAATAAAGTCAATCTCAAGATGTTACATACTGTGTGATTTCATTGTCCAACCTTCTTGAAGTGACAATTGAAGGGACAGAAAACAGTGCCATGGTTGCAGGGTAAGGAGAGAGGGGAGGCAGGAGACACAGGGTGACCGTAAAAGGACAGTGTCCTAGTGGTGATGGAATTATTCTGGATTTGTCAGTGTCAATATCTTACTTTTGATGCTGTATATCTTTGGAAGAAGTTACCACTAGACGTTGAGTGCAGACTACATAGGATTTCTCTGTATTGTTTATTAAAATTACATATGAATCTACAGCTATCTCCAAAAACTGTTCTCTTAAAACAACTAAATACTCCAAAACCGAAGCCATGTCATTCGGTCAATTCCAACTCATGGGAAGCCTGCATTAGGTTGACGAGACTATAAATCTTCATGGGAGCAGACAACCTCATCGTTCTCTCACCAGAGCGGCTGATGGTTTGGAATGCACCCACCTAGAGGTTAGCAACCCAGCACCCAATCCAGTGGGGCAGGTGGTTATGGGAATCAGATCAAGAATTTTCTTGTTTCTCCAAAACAATTTTTCTCAGCCTCTGTGCAAGTCTCCATGGAAGGCACAGAATACCAAACGACTTGCTGCCGGCACAATATAGACTCCTGGGTGCTGCAAGGGATCACCATGCTCAACTGCTAGCCTGAAGGGTGGAGGTTCGTGTTCACCCAGAAAAGCCTTAGGAAGAAAGGTCTCATCTTTGGAAATCCTCTGGAAACCGATTCCTCTCTGACACGCATAGAGCTGGAATCCAATTGAAGGTACCTTGATCCACAGGACAGCACGTCACTCTGGAGAAAATACTTCATCAACGATGCCTGCTGCACAAATCTGAGGTACAGCAGTTCACCTTATGTTAATTTCTAACCTTCGGTTTCTAGGAGCGCCCCCATCAAAATGTTGCCAGCCTCGATTTCCTTATATCCAACAATAGGAAAACGACACTCAAGGCAGTTTGGCTTTTATCTTTAGCAAACTCTCTAAAATGTTAAGTTTTTTAAAAAAGACCTTCGCTCCCCCTGGAGCTTTCCCCGATTTGTCACAGCTTTACTCTCTGCAGACTGCCCTCAGGGTGCGCTTGACTGCGTGCCTCTAACTGCCAAGCTCTCAGTGGCTTTAAAACAACAAAAGCTTATTTCCTATTCATGTCTCTTGCCCACCACAGGATGACTGAGAGGTCCGAGCCTCCTTGTCCTCACATCAGGACCCAGGATACAGAAGCAATCCCTAGCTGGAAAATTGCCAGTCCTCGTTGCAAACAGAGGGGAAAAATCTGGAAAGTCTCATATTAGTGTAAATGTTCTGGCCCCAAAGTCATCCACATCACCTCTACTCAAAATCATTAACCAGAAAGTACAATCCTATCATGTGTGTCTCAATTTCCTAGACTTTTGACACAAAAATAATTGTGAACAGCTTGATTGAATGGCTCAGAGGCCATATCAAAAAGTCCTAGCGCCTCTTCATTAAACACGAGACTTGACAAAATGATCCAGCTAGGCGTGCTCAAAACTAGGGGAAGAACTCAGATCTAGGGCTTTTCTCCAACTTGGCCATTAGGGTTTTTAAACCAGAGCAATGTAGGTGAGCTCATAAGACATTTTCTTAGTTTATGTTTCTTTTTTCCCCCAAAACAAATAGATTCAGAGAAGGGGGAGTAAGAGTCGCTAAAATGCTTGTCTCAAACTGAACAGCAACTGGAAATAATTCCAATCCCTTTTGAAACGTTCACCCTAGTAAAGATTAGATGTCTGGGAGCCTTTTATATTGTGAATATAGAGGAGACGAGGAAACGAGCTTTCTGAGACTTAACGGAAAAAACTTCTGACTCTCATTTAGCTATTTCGATTATCTTCTTGACACTCCAGGCTTCTGAGTAATGGTGGTGGTGGCAGCCGCAGAGTTTAGCCGAGATAAAAGTATATATAATAGTGTGGCAGCACCTGCAGGACCAAATACTACGGTACATTCCTTAGCTCAATCCTATTTGCTCTCGGTTCTGTGCAAAGTAACAAATGGATCTGAAACATTTATTCCAAATAGCTTTGGCTCTTATTACTTTAAAGATAACTTGGCTGCCAAATATCT